GTCTGTGATGACTATTGGCTGATAACTTTATTCCAAGAGACTCTCTAGCAATGGTGAATAGACTGCTACATACATGCACACACAGGGCATATAAACACATTCAGAATTACTTTACAGAACTTCACAGTGGTGACCTCTAGTCCTGGTTTTTTGGGTGAAGGGTGGAGGAATAAAAATTAATGTGAAAATGTACATTAATTCTGGGGATATAGAAAAAGTTCAAATATATTACATTATTTTGCTCATTTTTTAAATCCTCACCCAAGGACATTCTTCCATTGCTTTTAGAGAGAGAGAAAGGGAGAAAGGATAGGGAGAGAGGGAAACATGGATGCGAGAGTATAGATTGGTTACCTCCCATGTGTACCCAAACTGGGGATCAAACCTGCAACCTAGGTGTGTGCCCTGGCCAGGAATTGAACCAGCAACATTTTGGTTACAGGACAATGCTCAAACCAACTGAGCCACACTGGCCAAGGCTATTTTGCTCAATTTTAAAGAGGCAAATAGTTTACTTAAGATCTATTTTTTAGGCTCCTTAGAGATGCAAGGAAAATTTATACTCAGATCACCTATGGCAGTGATGTTTACACAAGGATACGACGGGATACAAGTTAGCCCAGGATGTTATCTCCTGAGTCCTAGAGTTACTCTGGGTATGTCCAAGCCTGGGAAGTACGGCAGGGCAGGTCTCATGGAAAATTGGAATCATGCCTAAATTCTCTTAGTTTACAAGGCATCTTACTTTCCAAGAGTGAGAAAACATAATTAGGTCCATACATCACCATTCAAAATGAAGTGAAGTTGGTTAGAATTGCCTCATTAACTTCCAGGTCAGCTTCCTTCTGTCCCATCTTTTCAGAGGTCCAAACATTTGTAGCCCATGATATATAAGACTGGTTTCACTCAAATCCAGAACAACTGATTGAAACTCAAGGCAGTTTTCCTAAAAAGGGCATTATAAGGGTAGCCAATATCTAACATTTCACAGACTCATGGCTGAAACAGAAGAGGCCCTGGAAGATAGATTATTTGAAATCTCTTTGAATATTTAGATGAAATGTATTTGACTCTAAAAAGTACATTATATAACTCTTTTGAAAACTCATTTAGTTTATATTCTATGACTGTTTAGAGGTATAAAAATCCTTGAAGATATGAAATTAGTATAGATTGCATTCAATAATCAATTGCAATGTCTTGGATTACAGGCTTATAATTCCATTTTTGCAATAGAAATGCCTTGGATTTCTCCCTTTATTAGGTTCAGCAGGCCACTCTAAACAAATAGGAGTATTGTAAGTCATGGATAATCATTTGAAACCCAAACCTTTAACCAAAAAATATCTTAAATTTTTAAATACATTCTGTAAGCATGTATAGGGTAGGACAAAAGTAAGTTTACAGTTGTGAGTATGCAAAACAGAGTATATTCTTATATTTTTATTATTATATTATTTTCCATATGAATAACTGTAAACCTACATTTGCACGACCCTGCATTTATTCAAGTGTTCATTTTGTTTGAGTAAACATCTTAGCAAAATGGAGTAAGACTTAAACCGGGGATCTTGGACTTTTACTAGATAGAACTTCTGCTCTCCAACCATGGAAAGTTGGGCATGTCATTTAACCTCTCAAGCCTTTAGTTTCTTATTTTGTAAAATGTGGATGACACACCATTATGCTTCTTCCTATCCTTTAATTTATATACCTCTCAGCTCTAATTTTTATGCTACTAAGTAAAAATAATCATTTTTGGTTTTAGCATTTAATGTCTCCTTTTTCTTTAGTTTAACCCTAATGACAAAGGGCAGTAGTCACATTTGCAAAAGAAGCTTAATTGTATGTTCCATCAATATTTGTCTTGTGAAGATGACACTGTGTATGGATTTATGGCATTGTGTAAAATGTGAGTCAGCAATCAATGCATAGGGGAGTTCAGTGAGCACCTGCCTGACTAGAATTGGGAGCTGGTTAGGGCAGGAGGACTTAGAGTTAGAACTATAGAATAATACAGGCAAATTATGGGAGGCCTTGAATGATAGATTTAGGAATTTGACATTCATCTTATGGCAGATGAAAGTCATCTTATAATGGGATGACTTAGTGAAAATTGAATCTCAGAAAGATAATCTGAAAAGAGTTATGAGGACTAGAATGTAATGGGGAGAAATGGAGCTGACATTTCAGCCTGGAGTCTTCTAATATTTTCAAAATATCAGATCATGAGAGCCCAATCTACTGTGTTGGCCATGGACCAGAAAAAGCGGGGAAGGAGTTGTGAGACTTTGGGGGAAAAAAAGGACACGTGTAATAGATAGGACAGATGATATAGAGAATACAGTCTCCAAGATTTCAAGTTGAGGAGACTGAAAGCAAGTCATTCACTGAAACAGAAGGTTGGAAATGTTGCTACTGGAGGGAAGATCTTGAGCACAGTTTTAGGTGGTTTGCATAAGTGATGGTGGGAACTGTTCAGTGAAAAAGGTAGGCATGTGTATGATTGGCTGGTCTTAGTGAAAGGAAACATTGATATAATCTTGTTGCTTTAGAACAGCGATTTTCAACCTTTTTTTTTTGAGAAAGTTTATTTAGAAAGTCACAGAGGTAGAAGTGAGCCAAAGAAGAAATGGGCTCGGGAAACATTACAGAGGCAAAGAAGGGCACTTGGAACTTAGGAGAGAGACAGGCAAGGAAACATTCCTGGGAGAAGCGGGTAGGGAGGGGTATGTGCATGCTCCATAGAGAGAGCCGCCAACCTTTTTCATCTCATGGCACACATAAATTACTAAAATTCTGTGGGACACCAAAATATATGTATTTCACCAATCTAACAAAAATAAGTACAATCTTGATTGATTTACCAAAAAAAATAATAATAGTAATTACCCTCCCTTTTAGCTCCAGTGAATTTTTGAAAAATCAGGTACCTTAAAAATTGTAAGAATATATTCTGTTTTGCATACTCATATATAAGGGTTTTTTATACCAAGAATTAAGCAATCAGATGCAAATTTATTATGTGATGTGACCAATAACATGCAGTTCTATTATGACTGATATATTTATGGTTCAAGACAGGGCATTCACACCAGACGGCTATTGTTGTGTTGGCTGCCACCAGTTTTTAATTTGACAACCTAAGGGAAAAGAGGTCAGTACAACTGACTAAATAGTCAGGTACAGCATGTTTTAAAAATTCTTGCAGCACACAGTTGAAAATTGCTGCTTTAGAAGATTTTTGAACATTTTTAGCACTTACTGAAATAAATACCTGATTTTCTTAGTTAAAGCAGCATCTATTAACAAACAAGAATATCTTGCAGATATTCTAGGGTATCCTCCTCCTAGGCAATCACAATCTACAAATGTAATCCCTCAATCCAGGCAGTATTTAAATCGCTGTGTTATCAGAACACTTGGTTCTAGCCCGAGTTTTATTCTAAGCTTGATTGGTGATGGAATAAATCATTTTTCCTTTAATTATCCGCTTTTTTATTCCTGATAAAATGTCTAATCTCACCTGACTCCCAATTTAAGACAGGACAACATAGTATACTTGCGTGTTACAAGCTGCATAATAATGTATGCATTATGAAGTTTGAGAACAAAAAATCATTTTCAAATCTAAGCATTTCTAAATCAGCGCTACTTAAAACTAGTCTTCAATTTGTGGTAGACCTAAGGTATTTGGCCTTTTCCTTTTTCATCCCCAATTTTCACTTACATCCTTCCTATGATTGAACTCATAGTTTATTTTAGCTCACACCTGGTAATGTTTCAGTCTAACCTAGCTCTAAACGAAGGAGAAACATCATCAACCTGAAACAGTAAAATGTGAGCTACACATTTTAATGTCTCAGGTAAAAGGGTGGGGAGAAAAAAGGTGGTACTGAGGGAACAGATTTTTAAAAAATATAGTAATGTTTATTAAAATGGCTCAATTCAATCCAACAAGTGTTTACTGGGTGCATTGCACTGTGCTAGTCATTTTAGTAATGCCAAGATGAGGGATACAGTCTCTGCCCTCAAGGAGCTGGGAGTACGAGGTGAACTAAAAAGTGCAGATTTATTAAAACGCCATGCAGAGTATCTAATGGAAATACAAGAAGAAAACTGACCCTAACTGAAAACATTTTAACATACCAAAGGAGTCACATATATTAACTCATATATATTAACAACTCTTCCAAAACTTCTAGGTAAACTCAGGGAGGGTAAGTAACCTGTTCAATGTAATTCAAGCTAGAAAGTTAGTGCAACTGGCTTTGTCCCCAACGCAGGGTCCACAGCCTAGGATCCTTCCAGGACACCGTTGCTAAGGGGAACCTCCAAGGAGTGGGAGGGAATAAGTTATGACGTTACTTGCAGTTGTGATGGAGGGAACAAAGAAATCAGAAAAGCTCTTTGGGGCGGCTTGTGAGGTGGGCCTTGAAGGATGAACCGGTGATGGTGGGGGCAGGGTGGGAAGAGGCAGGACTTTCAGCTAAATAAATGATGAGAGATACTGGCTACTTTCCTAATTCTTCCAGTCGAGAAGTCAATCTAGGGAAACCTGAGGTCCCTTGGGTCCCCTCTTGCCTCCCCCCGATCTTTTCCTTTGGGGCTTTTCAGTGTTCACCAATGTCACCATTAGACAGCTGTATTTCTGTAACTCGAAAAATCTCAATGTCTTAAGAGCAACCGGAGTCCCTAGGACGCTGGATGGGGTTAAGACAGACGCCCCTGACACACCCCCTCTCCCCCACCTTCTCAGCATGACCAGCACCTGGGCAGCGTCCGTTCCCGGGGAAAGGGGCTCCCCTCCACCAGATTTTCGCTGATGGGAGGCGAGGTCCAAGACCCCCTGGTGGGTCGGCGGGCGGGGCTGACAGGGGCGAGAAGCGCGAGGGGAATAACGGCGTGGCGGGCGCACCTGCCTGGCGCGGCGTGTCTCCACGCGGCTGCGCGGACCGACGTGCCCCTCCCCTCCGGCCTTGCCGTGTGTTTACGTGGAGACGAAGATGGCGGCGGCGGTGACGGCGTTGCCCGTGCGGCCGAGGACGGTCAGCCACTGAACTCGGAGACTGGTTCCACTCCGGGAGTGGGGTGCGCCGGCCCGCCCTGCTTCCTGAGCGGCGGAGCTTAGGGTCCCACCTCCCTCTCAACCGACCTCCCTTTCCTACCCCGACCCTCCCTCTGTCTTCCCCCAGCCTTCTCCGCAGAGGCCATGGAGGACGAGGAGAGACAGAAGAAGCTGGAGTTTGGCAAAGCGAAGGTAAGAACCAAAGGCTGCGGGGCCCGCGGTGGGAGACGGTGGCTGGAAAGGGGTGGGAACGGGCCTGGGAAGCGGAGATCCTGGCAGCCCCAGTGCGCTGCCTAGGACGAGGTGCTGCAGGGTCTGCATTGCCCGCTCGCCAGACTCTTTTTCCTTTTGAAAAATCCTGGTCTTAACTACCCAGCAGATACTTCCGTGATCATTGGGTGGCGTGGCTTCTTTCTCGTGAATCCCCAAATAAAGCTGTTCTTTTACTGTATTGCTATAATTGCTTCTAAATCTCCAACCTTTTACTTTTAGGGGGAGTTTTCTGGGTAGTGCAGTCATTGTGCTTTTCAGGGTGGGGATTTGGGGCTTTTCTTCGGTGAGGGATTTGCACGCTGATCAGGATCTCGGTATTCTTAGGTGGCACGCTGGCATTCTTGGTTGTGTGATTGGTTTGTGACAGCTGCCTCATCAGTGGCTCGAGTGTGCCACAAGTGCCAGCTGTGAACTTTGCGTTAAGGGCGTTTTTAGAAGCATGGCTTTGTATGTTTGTGTTTGGAGGTCTTTGTCATGGCATGCGCTTTTGTGTTGTGTGGAATGTTAATGCAGTCTGTGAATGGAACTTCTGGGAAGGAAAGGTTCCATAGTCTAAGCAACACCTATGGAATTACCGGTTTAAATAACTGAATTACTATATGTCTCGGTAAGTCCTTATGTGTGTATTTAAATACTACTGTAAAGCAAATAATACAAAATCATACACAGGTTTTCACTGGGCTTCATGAAAAATTTGACATAGACAATATAAACTAAATGGCATTTTTTCAAAAAAATTACGTATTTGAGCATATCTTTTGGCTGGTTTCAAAGGCTCCCATCAGCCCCACAATAAATTACCTTTTATAGATTATATTCTGACCATCTTATTAGAGATGATTGTTAGTAATCATACTTGGACCACAATTAAATTGTAATCTAGTTAATTTTTTTTCTCTCTTCCTCTCTTTTTGCTTCCGTCAAATAAACAAAGAAACAAAGGAGAAGTGGTCTATGATTTCAGTAGTCATTGAAGGGCCATACTGCAGAGATGTAGTAGCAGATGCTCAACACAACGTTCTTAAATGAACGTGTATATAAACTAGCTTCATATTCCTAAAATATAGTTGGCTTTCCCACAAGCCCCTTCAAAGGTCAAAGCTTAAGTGCTTGTATATTACAAAGTGGATTATATTACTTTGGATCTATAAATGGAGGAAAAGGGGGAACAAGACATCCTCAGAAGCCCAGTGTTGCTTCCATTTCTGCAGCCCTAGGATCCGAGCAAGTGGTATGAATCCAAAGAAGTGGAGGTAAAGTGTGCATCTCTTCAAAAAGCATTGATTTCTAATTAGGCATTGTTTGTTATCTCAGAATTTTTTACTCCTTGTTCCCAGAAGTATATTTTCTAAATATGTATGAAGCAGTCCCACAAAATATACTTTACTTTAGACAACACATTTTATAATAGAGGATTTATTTAAATTGCTTTGATTTGGCAAAAAGGAATTCTAAGAGTTACTTTGTGTATATGTGTGTTCTTTGTCTTTCAAATCTGACTGTGGGGTAAAAACCTTTAACATCATTTTTTAAAAAATAAAATTTATTGGGGCAACATTGGTTAACAAACTTTTAGAGGTTTCGAGTGTATACTTCTATGATACATCATCTGTCATATTGCACTGTGTGCCCACCACCCAAAGTCACATCATCCTCTGTCATCATATATTTGCCCCCTTCTGCCCTTTACTACCCCCTCCCCACCCTCTTCCCTCTGGTAACCACCATGCTCTTCTGTGTCTATGAGTTTCAGTTTTATATCCCACATGTGAGTGAAATCATGTGGTTCTTAACTTTCTGACTGACTTATTTCGCTTAGCGTAATATTCCAAAGGTCCATCCACATTGTCGCCAATGGCAATATTTCTTTTCTTATGATTGAGTAGTATTCCTTTGTATATATTTGTGTGTGTATGTATATATACATACATATAAATATACATTTATACATATAAACTTAAATATACTTTTATATTTATTTACCACATCTCCCTTATTTAGCCCTCTATCGAAGAACATTTTGGTTGTCTCCATGTATTGGCCATCATGAATAATGTAGCAGTGAACATAGGAGTGCATATAACTTTGTGAATAATGTTTTTGAGTTTCTTGGGGAGATGCTCAGGACAAGGATTGCTGGGTCATATGGTAATTGTATTCTTAATTTTTTGAGGAACCACCAGACTTTTCTATGGTGGCTGTACCAGTATATAGTCCATGAGCAATGAATGAGAATTCCCTTCACAACCTCTCCAACACTTGTTATTACTTATCTTGTTGATAATAGCCATTCTAACAGGTGTGAGGTGGTATCTCATTGTAGTTTTGATAGCTGAAACATCTTTTCATGTATCTGTTGGCTATTTGTGTATCTTTTTGGGAGAAGTGTCTATTCAGGTCCTTTGCCTGTTTTTTAATTGGGTTTTTGTGTATGTGTATGTGTTGGGTTGTATGAGTTCTTTATATAATTTGGATATTAACCCCTTATCAGAGCTGTTGTTTGAAAATATCATCCCCAGTTCAGTTAGTTGCCTTTTTTTGTTGTTGGCAGTTTCTTTCCCTGTGCAGAAACTTTTTAGTTTGCTATAGTCCCATTCATTTATTTTTTCCTTTATTTCCCTTGCCTCTGGGATCAAATTCATAAAATGTTCTCTACAACCAAGGTTCGTAACTTTAGTGCCAGTTTTTTCTATGTAATTTATTGTTTCAGAGCTTATATTTAGGTCTTTGATCCATTTTGGATTAATTTTTGTATATGGGGACAAACTGTAGTTTAGTTTCATTCTTTTGTATGTGGCTTTCCTATTTTCCCAGCACCATTTATTGAAGAGGATTTCTTTACTCCATTGTGTACTTTCGGCTCCTTTTTCAAAAATTATTTGCCCATATACACGTGGTTTTATTTCTGAGCTCTAAATTCTGTTCCATTGGTCCACTTGTCTGTTTGTCTGCCAATACCCTACTGGTTGATTATTGTAGCTCCATAGTATAATTTGAACTCAGATAATGTGATACCTCCAACTTTGTTCTTTTTCCTCAGAATTGCTTTGGCTATTTGAGGTCTTTTGTGGTTCCATGCAAATTGGATGATTTTTTTTGTTCTATTTCTTTAAAAAATGTCATTGGGATTTTGATGGGGATTACATTAAATCTGTGTATTGCTTTGGGTAATATGGCCATTTTAACTATGTTGATTCTTCCAATCCATGAACACAGATGGAATATCTTTCCATTTCATTATGTCTTTTTCAGTCTCTTTTAATAATGCTTTATAGGTTTTAGTATATAGGTCCTTCACATCCTTTGTTAAATTTATTCTTAGGCATTTTATCCTTTCTGGCGCAATTGCAAAAGAACTTGCTTTTTTTTCTAGTTTCTTTTTCTGAAGTTTTATTATTGATGTATAGGAAAGCAGTACTTTTCTATACATTGATTTTGTATTCTGCAACTTTACTTGTTTATTGTTTATAATAGTTTTTTGGTAGTGTTTTTAGGGTTTTCTGTATATAGAAGCATGTCATCTACAAACAGAGACACTTTTACTACTTCCCAATTTGGATGCCTTTTATTTCTTTCTTTTGCCTGATTGCTCTGGCCAGGACTTCCAGAACTATGTTGTATGAATGGTGAGAGTGGGCATCCTTGTCTTGTTCCCAATCTTAGAGGAAGAGCTTTCAGTTCTTCACCACTGAGTGTGAGGCTAAGGGTTTGTCATATTTGGCCTTTATTATGCTATTTAATTATTTTAATGATAAATTGATGTATCTTATCAAATGCTTTTTCTCTATTGATAATATCAAAAATTTTATCTTTTGTTTTGTTAATGTGGTGTATTACATTGATCAATTCATATATGTTGAACCATCCCTGTACCCCTGGAATGAACTCCACTTGATCACAATATATTATTTTCTTACTATATTATTGTATTTGATTTGCTAATATAGTGGTACCTTTCTTAGTACTCGTCATTAATTTGTTCTGGAACTCATGGAACTGATGAGTACTAAAGGATGAAGCATTTTCTCTTGTGGGGCAGTGTGGGGACTCATACAAGTTCTGGAAAGTGCCCACGAGTGGCAAGCAAGCATCAAGTGCTGAAACATTTTTTCCTCGTCATAATGCAAGTGCAGGGTTTGACGAGTTCTGAAGCCGGCGAATACTGAGATTTGACTGTATTTTGTTTAGGATCTCTGCATCTGTGTTCATGAGAGATATTGGTGGTAGTTGTTCATTGTTTTTTTTGTTTGTTTGTTTGTTTATGTTATCCTTGCCAGGTTTTGGTACCAAGGTTATGTTGGCACCTAACACATACAAAATGTGTTAGGAAGTGTTGCCTTTTCTTCAGTTTTTTTGGACGAGTTTGAGAAGCACAGGTATCAGATGTTCTTTGATTGTTTGGTAGAATTCACTAGTGAAACCTGGACTTATATTTTTGGGAGGTTTTTGATGGTTGATTCAGTTTTCATTTTGATCAGTCTATTTAGATTTTCCAGTTCTTCATGATTCAGTCTAGGAAGGTTATGTATAGTTATAGGAACTTAGCCAGTTCTTCTAGGTTATTGAATTTGGTGGCATATACTCTTTCATAGTATTTTTGTATGATCCTTTGTATATCTGTGATGTTTGTGGTAACTTCTCTTTCATTTCTGATTCTGTTTATATGAGTCTTTTCCCTTTTTCCTTAGTGAGTGTAGCCAGGGGTTTGCCAATTTTACTAATCTTTTCAAAACTCCAACTGTTTGTTGTATTAATTTTTTGTATAATCTTTTTCTTCTCTGTTGCATTCATTTCTGCTCTCATTTTTATTATTTCTTTCTGATGACTTTGGGTTGCTTTTGTTCTTCTTTTTCTAGTTCTTTAAGATACAATGTTAGGTTGTTTACTTGGGATTTCTTTAGGCTTGTAATGATATAAAC